ATCGCTAAGTTTAATATTCCTCAGCCTTTATATATATAAATAAGTATTCTATATACATGATGGTCTTCAATGGGTACCAAGTTGTGTTGGAGTTTGCAAAGCCAAGCTGGAGACTAAGCCATTTTGACTGCACCATGGGGTCTTGAAAAGTCCAGTTTCAAATATCAGAAGAACCCTAGCATAGTTTGGCAACGGATACTCATTCCCATCACAGTCAGTGGAAATGGGAATGCCAGCTCTCAGAGGATTCCTGGAAACACTCTGTTTCAAGTATCTATTTCCTCCCCGTAAGTATTTCAAATGAAAGTTAGACTGAACGACCGACAGATGCTTCATAAGGAATGCTGTCGCATAGTTTTTATTATGATCTCAGGAAATATGTAATATAGTGGTACCTCTGGTTACATATTTAATTCGTTCTGGAGGTCTGTTTTTAACCTGAAACTGTTCTTAACTTGAAGCACCACTTTAGCTAATGGGGCCTCCTGCTGCTGCCGTGCCGCAGCTGCACGATTTCTGTTCTCATCCTGAAGCAAAGTTCTTAACCCGAGGTACTGTTTCTGGGTTAGCGGAGTCTGTAACCTGAAGCGTATGTAACCTGAAGCGTATGTAACCCGAGGTACCACTGTAGTCCCTTTTCCACCCATCTGATTTCTATGTTGAAGAGTTCTAAACTTCTTAGCACTTCTCCTTTTGAGCAGAGGTTGGGTGAGCAGCCCAGTTCCATCCTGTTTCTTAATATGAGCTCTGCCCTGTCCCGTTTGGTGTGGATTTTTTTTCTTCAAGGAAGCATGAAAAGTCCAGATTACAATTGTGTGCACTTGTGAAATTCACATTTCCCCAGTGCTTTTCAATGCATATTTACATAAAAGTTCTAAGTGCAGAATGTTTCTTCTCCATGTGAGGGGTGGGGATGGTCCTGGCCTTTGCGACACAGCTAATGAAAATGACTTTTTCCCTGCCTCTTGCCATGCAAGTTCCTAGATTAATTTGACAGTTATATGTATTTATGTGTTGTCCCTAGGCAAAATGTTTATTTGCTAGATATCTCAATTTGTAAATTGGGATTATAGTTTCTTTTGTTTGTTTTTTAGCCTATTTGTAGGGGCTTTTATTTGCCCAGTTCTTATGACCCTCTGCTGCTGTGTAACTTGCACTGTAGCCCCAAAACTCTGATCCCAATTAGCTCATGCTGCAAATGGGCCTTGCCCAGTTCCCCTGTGGTGACGTGCCACTTCTACCAGGGCTTGGTGTAGCCTATATTATATCTTGCTTAGGCCTTTCTCTTGATGGCCATGAATGCATATACAATCTGTTGCCCCCTAGCTAAAAAAACTGATGTTTCCAGTGGCTGAACATCCCCTTGCCTTTCGAGGCATAAAAATGGAATCATGTCAGATAAACACGGAGAGAGATTATGGCAGCTTACATTCCTGTTTTTTCTTTTTCTTAACTGCAGCTAAGAGTTTTCATGGAAGCTGAAGCGGAGGGTGGGGGAACCCTAAAGGGGGTAGAGTCTGAAGCAGAACAAGAACGCATTAAAGATTTAATGATATTTCCTTTTGAACTAGCCTCTTGTTAAATTTTTCTAGACATCAGTCGGTTTTATGAGCCACATTCCTGCTCATTCTGCTTTAACGGTCCTTGATGCTGGAAACGCTCAGGTTCCTCGCAAGTCAAGGCACACCAGTGTTAATGTGTGTTGCAATTGCAGGCACAGCGCGCCTGCTCTCAAGCAAGCTTTCAGCATTTGAAAAATAGGCTGCCAGTGAATCTGCTTTTAGTTTAATTACGTCTTACCAGTTACACCGTAAGTTATTCCTTCCAGCTGTGGCTGGTGTCAGCGCCTTCTCCATTACTCGCAAACAATCACGCTAGCAGTTCCTGATCAGCTCTTGCCGTCTCAATGGGCTTGACTACATTATTTGGTACGGCAGAATGAGGGCCCCAAACAATGCAGGAATCCCGCCCAAGATTTCCTTCTGTATCGGAATAAATTACCTGGGGTACGTGTGAAATTAATTCAATTTCAGATGCACTGAGTTCTTTTAAGTGTTGCTTTCTGGGACTTCCATCCTTTTGGAATTAATGCAAACGGATGTAATACTGTGCTTTGTACTGCCGCAGTTCTAAGCCACAGAGTTCTGAGTAATTTTCTTCTTCTGCCAGTCTTTAGTGGGCATCACTTGTTATTAAAGTTAATAAATGTTTTCCCTCAAATGATGCATCTGCGTAGTGTATATAATTACGCAGCAAACTCCAGAGATCTCACCTCCATGGAAGACACAATTTTTAAATCGTATTTTTATTAAGTTTTCCAAAAATGCAACACATACATTTCAATACATTTTTTCTTTGTTATTTTTGTTGACTTCCTACCCTCTTTTCCGCGGGGTTTATATTTCTCTTTCTGCTGAACCCTATCTGCTATCTCTTATAACAACACTACTATAATCTTTAAGTTCTCCTGTTGCTCATAGTTCCTGTATTCATCATATAATAATATTTCATGAAAGAGACAATTGGTGTGAAGTAGGAAGGGGATTTATTTAATTTGTGGCCGCCATACTTCCATGTTCCTTGCTCTGCTGCACAGTAGTCTCCCTTCCTGAGCTGATAAGATGTGGCCTGTCACCTAGTCCTAACTATTCCCATTGTAATAAATGAAAATCTGCCCTTATTCCCTTATGGGGGACACAAGAGCCCGTATAGAGTCCATCGGTCAGAGAAGAGAACAGAGGCCAACCAGAGAATATTGAGAAGCAAAGCAGCTCGTAAGTCTGATCTTTATTGAACTGTTGCAACAGGGTGCCCCCTTCACACGCAGGAGAAGGAGGATGACCCAGAACCCAGGTGTGCCCGCCCTTATATAGACATTTTAAATTGCCCACCCTGGAGTCCCAGACCACCCCTAGAAACATCATACATACATCTCAAAAAGGGGTGGTCTACAACAGAAATCTGAGTGCGTTGTTAACCAGAAATCTGAGCGCGTTGTTTACCTTCTGTCTGACGGGTTACCTGTTAATGCTTACTTGAATGGATACCCTGAGGAGCCTGGCCAGTCTTTTGTAATGATAAATACTTAGTTCCTGAGCCAGGTCACAGGCTCACCCTATTCACACACAGGATCCTTAGGACAGGATCTGTGAAGGAAAAGACAATGGGGAGGCTTTTCCATTTTCCTTTGACGTTGCAGAGAAAACATTTGGTCAGTTTGGGAGCCAAAATAGCTTCATGGCTGTTTTCCTGTGCTGCTTCAGACATGCGGTTTATATATTTATGTACGTGTTTGCTTGGTACATTTATGAACATTTATTATATATATAAGACCTTAATTTTTTTATTTCACCATGATGCTGGTTTGTGGGGGAAGTCAGCATTCCTGCTGAGGCCACCTTGTCTGGAGGAGTTCAGGACTTCATGGCTGCCCCAAGATGTCATCTATCCTTCTACAGGTTTTCCACCAACTGTACCATTGTTCCACATGGAGCACCACCATCACATGTAAACTATGCGCTACCTGTCCACATTCCTGGTGGAGGCTCTCTGCTGTCATTTGAAGACTGTTCTTGGGACAGCCATTTGTACAACAGGACGGTCCGTATATGAAAGATGGAAAGTGGAGAGCTTGCCTTTTCGAAAACAAGTTGCTTTCTTCTAGCCAGATCCTCAGTTTTTGCTTTTGTAACTCCTTGCATATTGCAGAGGCGGAGAGGGGGAGTGAGGGATGGAGATGGGGATGCCGGAAAGAGAGAGAAATGGACATGGCCCCATCCACTTTTGGCTTTGCTCCCACTCCCCACTGCTAGCTTCTGCCCTACCCAAAAGACTTAATGTTATGTACTGAAGTTCTCGCCCTGGCCACCAGGAGTATTGTGTATGTAGTTTTCACTCAGGTCCACGTCAGTTATTTTAGGCGGGAAACCCTGGGTTGTTGTTGCTACATTGTCGACAGCCGGCTGCCTATAAAAGCTGTTAGGTAGATTTATTGCTTTATTGTTCGGCGTCCGGCACGCTTCCCCTGCACGCCTCTGCAGGTCATAAAGCAATTAGCAGAATTGCACAGCGTCCGTGTTGAAAGGGCAGTAAAAGAAGTCCCACACGTTGCTTCTTTCCTAATATCACTTTATTTGCTCAAAAGTAGCATATTTACAAGCAAGAAATTCCATCTGATTCAAGCTGCATTTTTCTCTGCGTCCTTCTCTCTCAGTGTGCAGCTGCGTAACAAAGCTGCTTTCACTTTTCACTCAGCTCACAGCATTCCAAGCTGCTTTCGTCACGTCCTGGCTTACTTCCCTTGTAAGCGCCTCCTCTCAGCCTCGAGACACAGAAGGTTAACCCTTCACTACACCCAACAAAAGCAGGCCGGCTGAGCTGTTTGCTGTTCAGTTCTGTCCAGCTTACAAATAAAGAGCTGCTTTGGAGAAATCGCTGTGTCGTCTGCTATGTTCGCCCACAACTTAACACTGGCGACGAGGATGGGATCGATGGACAACAGAGCACAGCCAGATGCGGCCACCCTCTGAGATGAGCTGAATCACGGAGCTGAAACACTGAGCGAAATCACGGAGCAGAACCAATTCAGAGCTGACCGTTCTGGCTAGAGCACGGTGTTCCATCCATCGCCTCCACGTTGGCATCAGAACCATGGCTTCACTCGTGCCTCTACCGCCGTTTGCCCCAGCCTCTGAATCATGGGACTCCTACCTCGCTCGGTTCGACTGCTACCTCCAAGCAAATGAGCTGACAAGAGGGTCTGTAGAGCAGAAGCGGGGCCTCTCCTCAGCCCTTGTGGCCCCGAAGTGTTCGCGACGGCCCGAGCATTGGTTGCGCCTCTAGCAGTCTAGGCAGCACCTTGGGACATGATTCAAGAGAAGCTCCGCAACCACTACGCCCCAAAGCCGTTCAAGATTGCTGCCCGCCATGCGTTCTACCACCGGAACCAGGCAGAGGGGGAGTCAATCAACAACTACACCACCGCCCTCTGACAGGCTGCAATGCACTGCGAGTTCCGAGACTTAGACGATGCCCTGATGGATCGAATCGTCTGTGGGGTCCGGGACATCCGTCTGCAACGGCATCTCCTCGCCAAGCCAGACCTCATGCTGCAGAAAGCCACTGAGGAGGCTGTGGCCTCAGAAGCTGTTGAACTCTCCGCCCAGGAAATCCACAAGGCCAGTAGACCGTATTTAAAGGACTATGTTGTTGGACATGTAACACTGTTGGTCTAATGGAAGTATGTGAAATGTAACCGATATGCTTTGTGCCTAATTGAACCATTACTCGTAGTGCTGTATATAAGGAAACCATTACGATTGTAACTAACGCCTTATCTTGGTGGGGAGGGGTGTTATGTACTGAAGTTCTCGCCCTGGCCACCAGGAGTATTGTGTATGTAGTTTTCACTCAGGTCCACGTCAGTTATTTTAGGCGGGAAACCCTGGGTTGTTGTTGCTACATTGTCGACAGCCGGCTGCCTATAAAAGCAGGCCAGCTGAGCTGTTTGCTGTTCAGTTCTGTCCAGCTTACAAATAAAGAGCTGCTTTGGAGAAATCGCTGTGTCTGCTATGTTCGCCCACAACTTAACACTTAATATGGCTCTCGAGGGAAAGAAAAGGTTCCCACCCTGTAACAGAAGCAAAAACAAACAAACAAAACAACTTTACAGTGGTTGTTGTTTAGTCGTTTAGTCATGTCCGACTCTTTGTGACCCCACGGACCAGAGCACGCCAGGCACTCCTGTCTTCCACTGCCTCCCGCAGTTTGGTCAGACTCATGTTTGTAGCTTGAGAACACTGTCCAACCATCTCCTCCTCTGTTGTCCCCTTCTCCTTGTGCCCTCCTTCTTTCCCAACATCAGGGTCTTTTCCAGGGAGTCTTCTCTTCTCATGAGGTGGCCAAAGTATTGGAGCCTCAGATTCACGATCTGTCCTTCCAGTGAGCACTCAGGGCTGATTTCCTTCAGAATGGATAGGTTTGATCTTCTTGCAGACCATGGGACTCTCAAGAGTCTCCTCCAGCACCATAATTCAAAAGCATCAATTCTTCGGCGATCAGCCTTCTTTATGGTCCAGCTCTCACTTCCATACATCACTACTGGGAAAACCATGGCTTTAACTATACGGAGCTTTGTTGGCAAGGTGATGTCTCTGCTTTTACAGTGGTACCTTGGGTTAATAATGTAATTCATTCTGGAGGTCCATTCTTAACTAGAAACTGTTCTTAACCTGAGGTACCACTTTAACTAATGGTGCCTCCCACTGCCGCTGTGCCACCGCGGCGCGATTTCTGTTCTCATCCTGAAGCAAAGTTCTTAATCCGAGGTTCTATTTCTGGGTTAGTGGAGTCTGTAACCTGAAGCGTATGTAACCTGAGGTACCACTGTACTATTCTGAAGTGTAAACAAGCCAAGAGAAGGAAGAAAATAGCAGCTGCTGATCTCTTGGAAAGCTTTCACTAGCAAATGACAGTTTAATGTTCCGGCAGCTGCCTTTTTCTTATTGGCAAGTGCTTGCACTTAAAAATCAATACCTCGTCAAATATAAACATACGGTTAATGAGTACCTGTTGGAAAGCATGGAGGGGGGATATAATTAGTTGAACTTTAACAGCTGTGCGTGTGACATGCAATTATGTTTCTCTCCTGAAGAAAATGCTAAATGAGATGTCTTAGGCCAAATCCCCACCCTTTGCTCCGTCTCGCAGGAAATTAATGACCCGCTGTGAATTCTCTCAGTATTTGCAAATATTCTTCTGGGCAAGTCCAATTCATTAAATGGTTTAAACACATGCCGAAAGGTAAGTGCATGTCCAAGAGAGCAATCAGCAATCCACTTACTCTGGAATCGCTCCACTCCTGCTGACTTTGAGACCAGAGTAAATAATTTAGAGGCTGCATGGCAACATTCCCTTCCATATTTACCTGGGATTAATACCTACTGAATTTACTGGGGGGGGGGGATTCATCTAATGAGCTCTGCCAGCAGAAGCCCTATGCAAGGGCTTTCCTTGACTTGGGGAGGGGAGTTGGAAGAACCCCCGGAAGGGTGTGTGGGCAGAGAGGCAGGATACTTCCGTCTGGCAAGCTGCAGTGCTTGCGCAGGTGGAAAATCCATCATAGTGTGATTTTGAATTCCACCTACCGACCCCATTCAGAAAGCATGCTGGTGCTTAGAATCTAAGCAGACTGACACACCCTCCTGTGGGAATTTTCAATGTGGCAGGAGAAGATGCATGGTTTATTAATATCTTTCCTAACTTGCGTTAGCAAGTTCTTTTTCTTAGCAGAGTGCATTCCCCTTTACACAACAGCAAACTAGTTGCAAACTTGTGTAAGTTTCTTAAGACAATACGCAATTCAATCTGGCTTGTCCAGATTGAAATGTGTTCTAATATTTTCCTGGTAAGACCCCTTGAATGCCTCCTAAATGAATAAAGAGACCGCAGTCTTATTCATAAGCAATAAAAAGGAAGTTTACTCATGATCAGGCAGAGCACAGTGTGATGATCCTTGAAGTCAGGCTTTAGGCTTAAAGTTTCAAACATATACAAACAGGTTTACCCCATAAGGGAGATTTACCTAGTGACTAGCAGTCCAGCAGTTCACAGGACGAAAGGAAGATGGAAAAGAGAGAGAGTGGCAGCATGCCTTGTCCTTTTACCAGGTCTGGAAAGGTCATCCCTACCCACTAGTCACATGCAAGGAAAGATGCTCCAGGCCAAGAGGAACAGGAAGTTTTGACTGGCTGGACCAAACATTCCCTTGTATGTCCACTCTAGGAAAACAGTGAATGTTGTATTTGACTGCTCCCAGTGGATTACATCCCACACTGCCAACATTTCTCTGATGTAAATAGGGACGTCCTGTATAATAATAATAATAATAATAATAATAGTATTGTTTGTACGCCACCCATCTGACTGGGTTGCTCCAGCCACTTTGGGTGGCTTCCAACATATATAAAAACATACTAAAACATTAAGCATTGAAAACTTCCCGATAAAAGGGCTGCCTTCAGATGTCTTCTAAAGGTTGTGTAGTTACTTATCTCTTTGGCTCAGGGGTTGCGTAACTCCACACCCTCTGACATTTCTACGATGAAAATAGGGACGTCTTGAGGAAAAGTGGGACATTCTGGGATCAAATCATAAACTGGGACGGCTTCTGTAAATCCGGGACTGTCCCTGGAAAATAGGGACACTTGAAGGGTCTGGGCTGATCTTAGATCCATGCAACTTATGGTCTGGAAGGAAGAAGTGAGCTGAGACTGGTGATTGGTTCTTCCTGCGTGACTGTGAGGTGCTTCTACTCCATGACCTTTGAATTTTCCACCTCTGTGATTTGTTCTGTGAATTAGTGGTGGCAGGCTGCTCAGGGAAGCAAACAACTGGATTAAAAAGGTTTCATGTGCCTACTGAGTGCCACTGAGGCTAAACCTCCATCCATCCATCCTGTCTCATAGACACATGCTGAAGCTAAAAATAGTCCAAGCAACAAACTGTGAGGGGAAAATGGGTGGGTGCTGAGATATGGAGATACTTTGTCTTAATTTTCATGACCCGACAAGCTGAAAATCAGATTCGTTCTGGACAGCCATGCTGACTGGAACTGATCGGGTAAGAGCGAAGGTTACTTCGGGATGAAAAAGCAACTGCTTTAAAATGTCCCTTCTTAAAGGGACCCTGGAAAAGTGAAAAGGGGTGGGGGTGGGGGAGAGAGTCAACACTTTCTTTGCCAGAAATTTGCCACACAGAGTTGCCCAGCTTCAAACAATTTTGCTATTTAAATATTTGATCTTTCACACACACACAGAGACAAAAATACATTTTAAAATACGTTTATTTAAAAAATAATCACAGTACACACATTGTGGTTATATTGGGGATGTGTGTGTGTGTGGGGGGGGGAAATCCCCGAAGCATATTGAAAACAACACACCAGAACTTGGAAAGGAAACTGTAGCCTTTGGGGAAACAACAGATTAGCCCTTGTGGATAACATGACAGGAAGAACAATAGAGGAATCTCCCCAATAATCTGATGCAACAGAAAAATGCGGAACGCAATGCAACTTGGTGCTCCTTTCGACCACACCTATGTGGCTGATGCGCTTGCTGCTGGTTTTGACTGCCATGTGGCACAGACTGAAATGTGGGGTATAAATAAGCAAATGCCCTTTCTCCTGGGACATCCACATGCTAGCAGTAGAAAGATGTGCCCAGCCTGTTTCCATCAATGTTGCAGTTGTCCCCGGCACCTTGGTGCCAGATGTGCTGTACGAGATCATTGGGTTCACAAAATGGATCATGGTGTACAATTGTCCTTAGGACTGCTTCACACATGGCATCAACCCCTGCCCCACCCCGATGCAATTTTCCGCTTAGGGAAATGTACAGTGGTACCTCGGGTTACAGGCACGTCAGGTTACATACGCTTCAGGTTACAGACTCCGCTAACCCAGAAATAGTACCTCGGGTTAAGAACTTTGCTTCAGGATGAGAACAGAAATCACGCACTGGCGGCAGCAGCGGGAGGCCCCATTAGCTAAAGTGGTACCTCAGGTTAAGAACAGTTTCAGGTTAAGAACGGACCTCCAGAACGAATTAAGTTCTTAATCTGAGGTACCACTGTATATGTTATCATACGGTCTCAACAACAGCTTGTTTTCATAGTGGATGATACTATGGCAAATACTATGGCATCTTGGCAAATACACATTCCTGCCTAGAAATTACCTTTATATAGTGGTACCTCGGGTTACATACACTTCAGGTTACATACGCTTCAGGTGACAGACTCCGCTAACCCAGAAATAGTACCTCGGGTTAAGAACTTTGCTTCAGGATGAGAACAGAAATTACGCACTGGCGGCAGCAGCGGGAGGCCCCATTAGCTAAAGTGGTACCTCAGGTTAAGAACAGTTTCAGGTTAAGAACGGACCTCCAGAACGAATTAAGTTCTTAATCTGAGGTACCACTGTATATGTTATCATACGGTCTCAACAACAGCTTGTTTTCATAGTGGATGATACTATGGCAAATACTATGGCATCTTGGCAAATACACATTCCTGCCTAGAAATTACCTTTATATAGTGGTACCTTGGGTTACATACACTTCAGGTTACTGACGCTTCAGGTGACAGACTCCGCTAACCCAGAAATAGTACCTCGGGTTAAGAAATTTGCTTCAGGATGAGAACAGAAATCGTGCAGCAGCGGCGTGGCAGCAGC